AATTGCTCAATAAATATTCTACAATATATAATGAAATCCATAAAATGATTGAAACAGATCCTAGTGTTCGTCCGACGAGTACTGAAGTACTCAATGGTTATAACAAGTGGTGTATCGATAAATCTGTTATACTTGACGATAAGGAATTTGAATCAACAAAAGACAAATTAAACGAAAAGCAAAAATTTCTATTCGCCTATTTATTAAAGCAAGTGTGGGGCAAATCGGATGTTCAGGGTTAATTTGAATGAGTTTCACGTTACCCTCTCCCTGTGAAATATTACTTATATTGGTAATCTTCAAATAAAAATTTAAAAAAGTTTTAATTAACATACAATTTTAAATATAATTTTATATAAGATTTGTTTAATAATTTAGTATAACATGTTCAAAATAGTATTGTGTTAGCATTTCATTAAATTAAGAACTTGTACTTTTCAATGCCAAATTTCTATGGGAAACCCACATTAAACTATGGGATTTTTAATAAAATATTTTAATAATTTTACTTTTTAAATTTATTTTATATAAAACAATTTGTTAATAAACATTTTATATTATTTGTAGTTTAAAAGAAATTATGATTAAATTATAACAATTATAAAATCTAAATTGTAAAATGTTATGAAATGGTATTTACATGTAGGTGTAATTTAACTGTCATTTGCCAATAAATTAACAGTTATGTTACTAATGGTTTTTACTGATAATCATAATTGTTATCAAAGGGTTGAATTCAACAGTTTTCATTTATAACGATTTATCATAATACTTTTATAACGTACAATTATTTTGTTACAAACAATATAAAAATATACTGTATTAATAATATATTTTTAATATTGTATTCTATTATAATTTTTTAAATCCGATTTTTATAAATGTAATCAAGACTATTATAATGGCACATGATTCAAATGATAGTGTTTACAAAGCACAGTTCATTGAGAAAGATACCCTGGGCGCAGGCTGTTTTGGTATTGTATTTAAAGTAAAACATAAATTAACAAATAAAATATTTGCCGTAAAAAGAGTACAATTTAAGGGTAAATATCAGTTATATATTGTTTAATATTAAATAAATAATAAATATTAAAATTTTAGACGATTTCAGTGATGAGAAGAAACAGCGAGTTCTCAATGAAGTGAAAAGTCTTGAAAAATTGGACTCAATTTTTGTGGTTAAATATTACAACTCGTGGACCGAAGGGACACATCTGTACATACATATGGAGTACTGCACGCAAACACTCAAACATGTATTGCAAGTCAAGCAACAAGTATTCGGGAGACAACCAAAAAAACCCTTAAATATATTTGAATATTACATTTGTTGCGAAATATTTAGACAACTTTTGCAATGTTTGCAATTCCTGCACGAATTGTGTCCACCCGTTATTCATCGGGATCTAAAGCCATCTAATATATTGATTTCATACAATAATAATAATGTGCATTTAAAACTGGGTGATTTTGGGATGGCCACAGAACACAAAACTACATTCATGAGTCACACTCAGGGCGCCGGTAATGGCAAGTATATGGCACCGGAAGTGAGTTCATCGCGGGATTACGACCATAGGGCTGATATTTATAGCATTGGTCTCATTGGGGCCGAACTGTTTGATGTGTATGCTATGTAAGTATTAGAATGATGTTGCTAAAATATCAAGACAGTTTGTCCACTATTTATATTGTAATAAAATCTATTAGGCGTTGTTCACATATTACGTTCGCACTTTTTCAGAAATCTAGACCCCCCTCCCCCCTTTGTTCGCAATTGTTCGCATGTAGTCATGTTAATATTATAACGTTCGGGTGTGCCTA